TTTGAGATTAAAATTAAGTTTTGGGGGTCAAGGAGTAAAGTTACGAAAAAACATGTCATGAGTAAAATTTAAAGTAAAGTAAGGAAAATACAAAGCAATAATAATTTGTGAAAAAAAAATTATTTAAGTATGAAAAAATGGCGAAAACCGGTAAAAATTTAATAAAAATTTACCAAATTTTGAAAGTAGGGCGTTTTTTGAAGCTGAAGGAATGCGATTTTTAGAAAACGCCAAAGAGGGTTTTGTAGAAAATTTAATTTCCTTTCGCTAAGATTCTTTCAAATCTTTTCTAGCTCTTACCGTTTTCGAGCTACATCCGGTTGAAAAAAAAAGTGTTTTTCGTTTTCAGAGGTCCGCCATTTTGGATTTTTGGGTGGGTTAAAATTTGAAAATGGGACTTTTGCATATTCCACCGGTAATGTAAGGTCTCTTACTACAATACTACGCAAATTTGAAGTCTCTAGCACGTTTCTAAACGATTCATATGACCATACCAAAGTCGGGAATTTTCAATGTTATTTCCCGTAAGAATAACAAGGGGGGGAAATTCGAGATTACGGGGGGGTTAATGTTAAAAAATGCAACTTTTTAGGATTTTCCTGTGGGTTTGGGCCCAAGACCTACAAGTGTGCCAAATTTCAGATCTCTAGCTATTCTAGAAGTGGTCTAGAATTTGTATCCCCATTGAGTGAGTGAGTTACACATCGGGCTGTATAGTTAATTAGACTCGCCTTGTGCTCGCTGGGGGCTCCGCCCCCAGGCCCCCTTTTAATAGTAGCCGTGATGAGAAATTTTCACGGGGGACAGGATGTTGTCCGGAAACATTTTTGCGTAAAAGACGTAGTGATAACTTGGCAGTTGCGAAGTATTCTATAGAGGGGTTGTTAAGTGCAAACCAAACCAGTCTTGACATGTTAGTGTCTCGATGTAGGGCCGGTGCTATGATAAATTAAATTTGCTAAGTCACAACCTCAAAAAACTTTCTTCACATCAATAAGCATCGATATAAAATCTTAGGAGTTAGAGTGATGTAAAATAATATTTTAAAATAATCTTAGGGGCGGGGGTTGGTGAAAATTATCGGCATGAAGAATGGACCCCTTGCGCAGTCAAAATCACGAAAAATAGGGAAAATAAGGTAAAATTTAAGGTTTAAACACGAATTTGGGGTGGAGATGGGAAAAAAATTAAACTAAACGCATGGCTCAACCAAATCCTGGTTGAAGTTCGTTCGCTACGCTCACTCACCTTTAGGTTGGAGCTCGTTCGCTGCGCTCACTTGCCTTCAAGTTAGCTCGTTCGCTACGCTCACTCACCTTCAGGTTAGCTCGTTCGCTACGCTCACTCACCTTTAGGTTGGAGCTCGTTCGCTGCGCTCACTTGCCTTCAGGTTAGCTCGTTCGCTACGCTCACTCACCTTTAGGTTGAAGTTCGTTCGCTACGCTCACTCACCTGTAGGTTGGAGCTCGTTCGCTGCGCTCACTTGCCTTCAGGTTAGCTCGTTCGCTTCGCTCACTCACCTTTAGGTTGGAGCTCGTTCGCTGTGCTCACTTGCCTTCAGGTTAGCTCGTTCGCTACGCTCACTCACCTTTTGGTTGCAAATTAGCTATTGTCATGAATTTAAAAATTTTAATGGGGATGAAAGAGAGGGGGTTGGAATGGGATTGGAATACGTTAAAAAAATCTTTAAAAACTCCCTTCTTGATTGAAATCCCGCCATTTTTAATTTTTTAGTACGTTCAAATTATAGAAGGTCACTCAAGGGACTTTGTTTTCAACGTTGGGACCATAAAAGGTACAAATATATGTACGAAAATAAAAACACTTAAAAAATCAAGAGTTTTTACAATTTTTGGAAGTAGGGCGTTATTTGAAGGTGAAGGAGTCAGATTTTCGATATGACCCCTTCTTTGAGAAAACTGTCTTGTAGAAAATTTGATTCTGAACCTACGATTTTCCCTCAAATCGTTTCTAGCTCTTACCGTTTTCGAGCTACAGCAGTTTTAAAAAAACATGTTTTTCCCAAAAAAACTAGGGTTTTAAAGGATTTCTTTTGGTGGGTTTCAGTTGGAAAAACTAAATTTTGGGACTTTCTGGGTGGGTTGGTACCCAGACAAACTTTTACAAAAAATTTCAGCTCCGTAGCTACTCTAGAAGTGACAATAATGCTTTTTCTGTCGCCAAACGCCCATATTTCACCTACTCACGTTTACTTCTAGTTTGCTTGTCGTAGCATGTTAATTCTCCATAAGAAACACATTAAAAAAACGATCTTTTTGATTGAAAATCCGCCATTTTGAATTTTTTTTGTAGGTTAAAATTATGGAAGGTCACTCTAGGGACATTCCTTTCAACGTTGGGAGCATTAAAAGTAGAAATATATGTGCGAAAAGTCATTTTAAAAATTAAAAACACTTAAAAAAATCAAGAATTTTTACAATTTTTGGAAGTAGGGCGTTTTTTGAAGGTAAAGGAGTGCGATTTTCGAAAAACGCTTAATAGTGTCTTGTAGAAAATTTAATTCCAAACTCACGATTTTTCCTCAAATCGATTCTAGCTCTTACCGTTTTCGAGCTACAGCCGTTTTAAAAAAACGTGTTTTCCCCAAAAAAGGGAGTTTTTAATGGAATTTTTTTGGGGGGGTTGCATTTTGAAAATGTAACTTTTTGGGATTTTGCTGGTGCTTTGGGACCTAGACGGACCTCCAAAAAAAATTTCAGCTTCCTAGCTATTCTAGAAGTGCCCAAACATTTGTATACCTGATGAATCAGTCAGTCAGTCAGTTACACATCGGGCTGTATATAATATAGACTCGCCTTGTGCTCGCTGGGGGCTCCGCCCCCAGGCCCCCTTTTAATAGTAGCCGTGATGAGAAATGTTCACGGGGGACAGGATGTTGTCCGGAAACATTTTTGCGTAAAAGACGTAGAGATAACTTGGCAGTTCGAAGTATTCCATATAGGGGTTGTTTAGTGCAAACCAAACCAGTCTTGACATGTAACAGTCTCGATGTAGGGCCGGTGCTATGATAAATAAAATTTGCTTAGTCACAACCTCTAAAACTTTCTTCACATCAATAAGCATCGGTATAAAGTCTTGGGAGTTAGAGTGAGGTAAAATAATATTTTAAAATAATCTTAGGCCCCCTTCGGGGGCGGGGAGTTGAAAAAAATTATCGGCATGAAGAATGGACCCCTTGCGCAGTAAAAATCACCAAAAATAGGGAAAATAAGGTAAAATTTCAGGTTTAAACACGAATTTGGGGTGGAGTTGGGAAAAAAATTAAACTAAACGCATGGCTCAATCAAATCCTGGTTGAAGTTCGTTCGCTACGCTCACTCACCTTTAGGTGGAGCTCGTTCGCTGCGCTCACTCACCTTTAGGTTGGAGCTCGTTCGCTGCGCTCACTTGCCTTCAGGTTAGCTCGTTCGCTACGCTCACTCACTTTTAGGTTGGAGCTCGTTCGCTGCGCTCACTTGCCTTCAGGTAAGCTCGTTCGCTACGCTCACTCACCTTTAGGTTGGAGCTCGTTCGCTGCGCTCACTTGCCTTCAGGTTAGTTCGTTCGCTACGCTCACTCACCTTTTGGTTGCAAATTAGCTATTGTCACAAATAAAAAAAAAAATAATAGTGCTGCACCCTGTTGCTAATGGTAAAATTTTATTAATGGGGATGAAAGAGGGGGGGTTAGCATGGGATTGGTCTAAATATCCATCATTCACCTACTTACATTTAGATCTCGTTTGCGTGTATAAGCATGTAAATTTTTTATAACGAATACGTGTAATTCCAAGGACACAACTATCGAAATGGGGTTTTTTGAGGGGGTTGGAGTATAGATAGGTGAAAGGCGCCATGGAACAAAATGTACACCATAAAATTTTGTATACAAAACATTTGTTTGTTTATATATAATCTTGCGTTTATTTAATTTTTAATTGGCGAGAATCTTAAAAATCGGGATTTTTTATTTTAACTGAAATTATCCCCCCAAATTGGAGGGTTAAGTAGGGTGAGTGAAAATCCCGAAATCGGTTTAGGATGAACATTAGGCATATTAAAAAGCAAGTAATAGGTCAAACGTACCCAAAACGGATTTTAACCTACTCCAGGGCAGCCAACCCCCCAAAAAACAAGGAAAAATGGCAAAATTTCAAGTTTAAGCATGAATTTGGGGGTGAAGGAGTGAAGATGGAAAAAAATGTTAAATTACAAAGTTGTAGATCGTCAAAAGTTAGGATATGTAGGTGCTCTCCGTTTCTTGATCAGACCTACGGTTGAGCCACAAGGGACGTTTGAACAAAAAAAAATGATGAAAAATTCCAAAATTTTGTGTTTAGAGCGAAATATAGGGGGGAAGGGGTGGAGATAGAAAGAAACTTTATATTATAAAATTGTAGCTCGTTTAATTCTAAATACAGTAAGTGTGCTCCGTTTTTTGATTAGATCAACGGTTTAAGCACAATAAACGTTTTAAAAAAACGCCTTTTTCGCACTTTTCAAAAATCCGCCATTTTGAATTTTTTAAGGGGGGTTAAAATTTGAAAATGTGACTTTTGACAATTTTCCTGGTGGTTTAAGACCGATACCTAAATTCGTGCCAAATTTCAACCCCGTAGCTATTCTAGAAGTGGGTAAGAATTTGTATACCTGATGAGTCAATGAGTGAGTCAGTTACACATCGGGCTGTATATAATATAGATTACATGATAATGACCAACTACCTATTAGTAGTAAACAGTAGTAGTACCTATTAGTATTACTACCTATTATAAGAGATTAAAGATATATAAAAATAGACTTAGATGATTTTGAGCAAATACTACTCTCATATTATATTAATTTTAAATTTTTTTTTCGATTAACGCTCGGTCGTCAGATAATGGTATAATGTACGTTTATGTCCTATAAGACTAATTAATGCTACTTGGAAAGTATAAGACTATCACTTTATTAACAAGTGCAATATTAGGTATTTACTAGTCAAGCGAGTTAACTTACCGTGAGGAAAAAGTATAAGAGCAAGAGCCAGGAAGCCGTGGAGTAGTTTGTACAATTCCTTTTTCATTTCGTCAGTCCAAATAATATCTTGACTAAAACCCTAACTTGCTCCTATTAATTGGTACATCTCCTGAAACATAAGTATAGAATCTAAGTAAGGGTTGAAAGCACTTATATAGTTTAGTGAACAGACTTTAGCTGTTGTTAATATGATTTAAATACAATGTTTAAAAAATAATTGAACAATTTTTAAGAGTAAACTTAAATTGGTAAAGGGATCTGTTACATCTAATTCGTGCTGCAATACATGTAATAAATCTAATTATATTATCTTGTTTTAGTTATTAACTTATTGTTTTAACATTTAAAACATGTACAACTCAATTTTTGTTTTGGTAACCACAATGCTCAGTAATAACCAAGAAGAAAAATGAGAGGACAAAGCTCAAAAGCCTTGCATTTTTTGTATCCTATTAAAAAAATCTTACAGTAAACGTAAATGCCAAGTTGTTGCATCGGTAAATGTAGAGGGGTAAAAGAACATCATTAATATTCTTAACAACAGTGTGCGTTCTGTGCGATTTGTATGTATTATTGATGGTGTATGAACGGTTACCCTTTCAACAAAATATCGAAGCGCTCGTTTTCTTTACAATGGAAAGGAATTGAAAGGGAATATAAGGACAGATCGGAGTTGACAGAATCAGATAAAATACAAATTACTTAACAGAAGATAAAATTCAAATGTATACTTATTTATTCTTGAAGTAGGGATTTCTGTAGGCTGTAAGTGGTTTTAAAGGACAATTGGACATGCACATAACTACTTCTTGGGAAAGATCTAAACTTATTCTACGATATTTGGACATCGAGTGGTGCAAAAATATTTCCATATTTCTAGTGTAGGCTATAAAAAAATGATAAAGTAACATTATTTCTGAGCATGCAAATGTGAATAACGCTTTTGTTACAATACCAGTATTTATATACGGACAATATATATATATATATCTAACAAAATTAAACTTCTATTCGTAATGCTTATTTTTTGTATTGAGTAAAATATGTTTATTGAATATTAATAAAGGATAATATACAGTAAAGCTACTTACTCTCAAGTGTGGTTGGGAGTTAAGTATTTACTAAAGCAGGTAAGTCAATACCTTGCAGCTATGTTGAGTAAAGCCGCACATGTTTGGTTAGAGACATGAACCTAACCAAGGCTTCACTAGAAAAACGTTTTTTTTCTAGTGGGGCCTTGACCTAACATCTTCTTTAAACACTGTACAACACTACAGTTATTTTTAATTTTTTTTTTTATTAAAGATTGCATTACTAATTTAGTATTTGAAGAAATGAAATTAATTCCCAATCGAAAAGGTTTAAATAACTAAGTTGAGCTAAATAACCAAATATGTCTAGCTCATTAAGACATACTCTTATTCTTTTTAACTTCTGCTGTTAATTTAATGGTAAAATTCTATAAATGATTCACGAAAACAATCATGTAGTGGCAAAATCGTTTCCTTTTCCTATAAAATATCTCTATGACTCCAGGGGATGTAAAACATTTTTTCATTATATAAAATACAGTTTATAAAAAATACTGTAATTTTATGATGGTAGTTAAAGGATTTAAATTAAAATGACCAATCTTTTATATTTAAAAACCTTTACGAAAATTGTCACAGCTAGCTTGACCATACGACTGGACCGAATTACACGCAGATTGTACCAAAATAAAGGTTATCAGTCCTATATGTGCAGGTTTTACTTGTATTTTGAAAATATTTATGTTAATTGGGTCAAAAATGGAAATTAAACTTTTCTTAAGGAGATTTAACATGGGGCCAAATCTTTCAGCTTACGACAGCCACCCTGAACATACTACTGAACTTATTTACACGCGGGTTGTACCAAAAGAAAGGTTATCGGTTCTATATATGCAGATTTTATTTGTATTTTGAGATTATTTATGTTAATTGGGTCAAAAATGGAAATTAAACTTTTCTTACCGAGATTTAATATGTGGCTAATTCTATATTTTAATAAAAAAGTATGATTATTGAAAACCTTTCTTCTCAGCTCCTGTGCGTCGCAGGGAAAATCTACGCATACTGTTAGAAAGATATTTGCCTGTAGATGTGCAGAATCCCTTTATAAATTTTAAATAGGCACAAAAATGAATTTAAAATTAAAAAAAACTTACATGGGGTTTATGGGTTGCCATGTTGGTGACAAAATATCAACAAAATATGAGGGATTCCAATCACATGTTTTATGTTCTTCCCCATAAATTCACCATAATTGTAAAGGTCATAATAAAAGAAAAGGAATGGCTCAAACTAGAGGTCCCTACGTCGATCCCAAACAGTTCAAAGTTTTAATGTTTTTTTTTTAATAAAATACATATCAAAATCTAAACTGTTATGTTGGATTTATAAAAAAAAAACTTATCACTTATCTGTTAGTATGAATAAATGAATAATGATTATTCAGGTGAAAAAAGAGGAAAACCCCATTCAATTTATATTAACTGCTCAAAATGTCCAACATTCACTTTGAGGCAGAAGTGAAGTCTGGACTCAATTGCCTGTCTTTCAAGGCAGGTCTCTCAGCTCATATCTACAGTAGTAGGTAACTCTAAAACCTCTAATTAACATATATAAACCTTTTGTATTGTGCTTGTTTATAGATGTTTGTTGATACAATTTGGTCAATTTATTTATTTCAGACTATACTATAAATATTTTACAGAGGTAAACTACACATTTCTTTCCGGTAGCAGCAAAAATAAGAACTCGTTAAATCTTATTTTAATCAATAGGGAATAAATGTGACAAGTTTAAGGAAATGTTTTAGTTGCTGTACACTCTTTTCGTAGTATAATAGGCCTATCGACATTATTAACCAATAACGCAAAAAAAAACATAAAAACATTTTAATTCATAAAACTGCAGTATTATGGAATTGCAATATTTTTGATTTCTAGACTAGATCAAGTGAATCAAACAGATTACTTTACAAACAGTACTAATGCAAATTAAAATCTTAAAGAATCTTGTAATCGCGTTCCTGTAACGTCCCAACCAAGAAAACTCTTAAAACTATAAAAATATAAATGTAGCATACATCAAAGTTTAGTCATTTTCCTACATTTTAAAGCAAATCTTCATTAATGGCGAAGTGACTACGGTTTGTATCGTAAGTTGTGGTGCGCACGTAAAAAACCGTTTTACTACATGATTATCAATAGTTAAAAAATAACAACCTGTATCATATAATCAAAATAGCATAAGCTAATGTGAAAATATTTAAAAGCTAAATGTGTCAACTGACACAAAATAAAAATAATACATTACTGATAGAGTTGAAAATATAATGTATTTTTATTAAATATATTTATATATTACAATAAACAAAGTTAGCTAAACATGTGTGACTACTGTAGTTAAACTAAAGTTGATATAACTACAACATTCAACGTTCATCTACAACATTAACTGTCCTTCCACCAAGAGGTTCAGATTATGTACACACTCTCAAACCACATACATAATGTTTCAGCTAGAATACTATTCCCGCTGTATTCCCTTTAGCCCAGGAATGCTTAAATATAATTATTATCAACATTTGATGATTAGGTCCAGATACTATTTAAAAGTACCGTCAGTTCTGGCATAAATTTACTGAAACATATTAGGTAGCTTAACATAACGTCAAGAGAAAGTTTTATTGTGGTTCTTGAAAACCTCAGATTACCTAAACAGAGTTGCAGGAACCATGATGTTTTTACCATGCGTAATGTACACCCATCAAAGTGGCGTTTCTCAAATCAAGTCAAACTGCGGAAACCCCACAGTTTAGATTAGGTGGTTTTTTAAATAGCAATATAACTCTAACCGCTAATACCGCTAATCCGCCGGAAAACGCGAACTCTGATAATAAAGCAACATACCCAGCATCTTCTATTGCATGATTGTTATTAGCCTATAGATGGGATTGTTTTCAAGAACTTCTGATCTTCTCTCTTAAGCTCTCTTTATAAATAATCACAAAATGATAGGAGAAGACTGTTGCTAGTCCATGAAATATAAGATGAAAGTCAGCAAATAACAGTTCCTTTGACATTGATATTCTGAACAAATTAAATAGTACTTTACACTGTTATTTCGTTGCTGAGAAAAACTGATTTTAAAACCATAACAAATAGTGTAAACTTCTCAATGTATAAATTAATTTAAGTAACGTTTATAAAATGCGTAAAAAAAACACAAATGTTCCAGTCACAAAAATAATGCAAATATTTTTATTTCAAATTAATAATTACAACCAGCTGTTCCCTCAATAGTCAAGCCTTAATTAGCGTAAGATTCAAAAACTATTCATCTGTTAAAATGAAAACAAATCTTTTCTCCATAAGGATAATATGGGAAATTCCAACTGGGGCAAAGCCCTGATGGAAGTTCGTGTAAACGCTTCTTATTGCTCACCTAGAGCTTAATTGGAACCTTAATGCCAATTCCTAAGTTCCTATGGCTTGTAAGTTTTATATAAATAGATCTGTGAGTGACTTATATTTACCTTTTAACTTTTAAAAGTTAGAAGATAGATTTACTATTGCTGTATTAATAGTTAAAGTTCTGCAGCTTCGTCTTTATTATTATTACCTAAGTATATGTTGATACCCCTCACAATGCTTATTCCATTTATAAATATTCATCATGCTTTGTTTACTTGTAATATTAAAGTACAAACAGTCGTTCAGTGTATAATGGTCTTATCATACATTATAATGAAAACATTATTAATTGAAATGCCAATCAGATTATCTCCCTCGAAAATAATATTGTTTAGCATTAGAAAAATAATAGATTTGATTCGCCAGATACAAAATACCTTGGTAAGAAGGTATTTTGAACCACGGAGTGTACAATTTCCAAATAATTAATTTAATTTTTGTGGGTGATCGAAGAATAATCAGTTGAAGCCTATTCTATACATTCCCATTTGAAACAACGACGAATCACTAAGTAAATATAATTTAAAATGTAGTTTACACTTCAATATCTCTGTATAGTAACACGTGAAAGTGTCAGATGTTGTCATAGCTGATGTAATGCCTACATT